TTATGGTTCATTTCAGAATAGGGATGTTTGATGTCCCACCCTTGCAAAACACTGCGTGCATCTGGCTGGGATCTCCAACTTTCTTAAATGGTCACTGTCTATGTTTCTGATGGGGGGGTGATGGACTATACCTTTCACTATCAGGACTAATTACAGAGAAAAAAAAGGGATTATTAGCTTACTTCTCAAAGAAGAGCTGTTCCTTCTGTACAACTACTCAGCACATTGCTCTCACAGGCAAAAAAATCATCCTTCAAGCCCATTCCTCCTAGATTCCTTGTATGACTGCCTAAGGCTCCACTTTTTGCTGAAATGTTGCATTCTGACCCCATGGCACAATCTAACATCTTGGTAGCTGCAGCCCATATTCATCATACCTAGTCCTGCTGTCCTGTAATTCAAGCCATGGTAAATAATTGCTGGCTGGTCAAGAGCTTTGAAGTTCTGCCATCACTGCTCACATAAACTGAGGATCCCTGAGCAGGGTAGGTTTCATGGGTCTGATGTGACTGTGCATCCCAGGAAGATGATCTCAGAAAAATCCTTGCAGGAAAAAGTGGGCCTCTCGGTCTCTTCCTGCTCCTGTTCCAGCTTGTGGCAGGAGTAGCTGCTGTTTGGATGCCTAAAGCTTGGCAGAGCTACTTGGTTCTGTGGCTGCTCTGAATTCCTTCTGAAGTCAATTACGTATTGACGTATGCTCCTGTGTTAATTACAGCTACTGCTGCAGCTTGGTGACCTCTTTTGTCTGCAGTAGCCATAACAGTTTGCAAATAATTCTGGTTAGCCTGTGAGAGAAATACCACTAAATTACGGGAGAAAAAATCCTGGAAATACTTTGATTAAATTTTAGGTATAAAACTAGCAGTTTCTTCCAACAACTGCAATGCAGAATTCCCAGAAGTGGTATTAAGAAATATGGGTTTCTTTGCTGCCCTGCTGAAAGCAGAGAAGTCTATTTCTTGTGGAAATTACTATTTGAGCTGGAATGAGAAGTGACCCAGAGATGGCTGTGTTGGAAGCAGCTGGGACTGATGTTCAGCTGTTACTGCTCTGCTGCTCAGTGCAGTTCACACAACCATCACCACCACCATCCCCAGTGTTAGCCCACCACTGATTGCAATGGGGTTAAAATCAACCAGAGCCATTAATTAAGCTTTGACTCTCTCTGTTGAACTGGTTTATACATATACAGACTGTTCTTCTTTCTTTTAGGTAAACAGAAACTGTGCAGCATCTTTATTGAGCATTGTGCAGAGATGGCCAGCCCAGCATGGCTGTTAAATTCCCTCAGATTCTAGCAGCAATCCCATTTATTGTAGAAGACAATAAAGCTTAGTAGTGAAAATCACATCATTAATATTAGCTTAAATGTAGCTGTTGCTATAAATTTATCTTGTTCACAAAGGTGTGTATATCAAGGCCTGTGGCTACAGAGAATGCTGTGGAAACTCAGTTTCCTATGGTCTTGAGCCTTTTCATTCATAGGCTTTTAAAAACTAAATTAAACTACTATTTTCTGGATTTGCCATGTATCCTGTACAGTTCCCATACTTTTTTTTACAGCCTTTGTTCTGTCAAATATTTCCACAGTTATGTGCAGCCTGTCTCATTGAAGTTAATTGGCCAACAAAATCTAAACCTTGGTGTCCCTCACTCTGTTTTTCCAAAATACACATCATATTTGAGCTCATCATATTTGATATCTCCAGTATCTGTCTGATTGGCCTGAAATCAGCATTAGAAGTTTATTACATACATATAAACAGGCTGATCCTGGAAATCGGATTTTCACAGGGAGCTAGGCTAACTGAATCTAGTCAAAAGTATGGAAATTACAGCCAATGTAAGACTACAAACCTGAAAACTGAAAATACGGTGGTAGAAGAAGAGAGTCCAAATATGCAGCTGATGCTACATGAGCTGCCTTGGAAGATCATGTGAAACCCTTTCCATCACTGCCCTCCCTCCATGATTCAAGGAGTACTGCAGTGTTTCCTTCTGAATGGCTGAACTCCCAGACCTGGGCCAGGTTCCCCTTGGGAACAGACGGGCACAGCTTTGCTGGCCACAGGTTCAGTGCCAGCACCATGCTGAACGCCAGCTGAAGGTGAGCACAGTTTGGAACACATGTACAGTGTACCTTCCATTGTCTATTTTCATAACACTTGAGAAAACTGTGCTGCTCTGCCTCAGGCCATCCATAGCAACTTTAATACATGGTATTGGTTTGTCAGACCTGCCTGTGATTTACGCTTCTGCTTGACATTATTTCTGTTTGGTTGATATTTCCCTTTCATTGTAATAAAGCTTTTTTTTTTTTTTTCATGTAACAGTGACTGTATGTGTTATACAAAAATGAGAGAACTCAGTGACATGGAACTTAATCATGTTTCCCCATGCCCTTGATATAATCTTTCAACAGCATCAACACTTTCAACAGTGTATTCACACTCCAATGCATGATGAGTTTATTGGTGTGACACAAACTACTAGATACCAAAATTATATATATTTGGGAAAAAAAGTAACTACAGCATTTATAGCAGTTTCTGGTAATTTCAGTACAGATTGAGGTGACTTCAGACACATATGGTAAGTCATAAAAAGCTTCTGAAATATCTATACATGTCCATGACTGTGTACAGCCGTCCATGACAAGCTGGTATGCTGATTACATGGGCTGGATGCCAGAGCTCCCTGCTCATCCAGGAAACCTTACTCAGCTGAACAGGACTCTGTGACTCTCAGGTGTATAGTGCTGATTATGCTCTGCAGCACATTTGCATTTATGTAGTCTCACACTGCATTATTAGATGAATGGAATGGTTTTACTTCTCCAATTCTTTGAAAAAAAGGGGTTTAACTTTTAGGAAAAAAAGTTGACTTCCAAAAATTAGTATATTCTCATTAGAAGTGTGATAATAATGGAGTAATTATTATAGCTTTGTTTTGAAGTCTCATTTGACTTATAATTTTAAGAGTGTAAATTTGTTTTATGTAGTTTTGAGACAGCAGTTACTGGTGTGTCTTTTGTTTTTTATAAACATGTTTTATGGAGACAGAAGGTTATTTTATAAAGTATTTCCTACCTTTAGCATTATGTTGCTGAAATTGAGAGACCAAGCAACAAGCTTTTCAAAGATTCTGCCAGATTCTTTAATTCCAGGTTTTCCTATATGAAAGAAAACATGTAGAGTGTTCAAGATAATACAAGTAGAGAAAGTGGGTTTTGGTTTGCTACTGAGGAGAGATTTCCTGTGGCTCTACAACTTCCTATATTCAGGAAGGCTTATAGTTGTAGGAAGACTAATGTTGCTGGCAAGGCACAACATTCCACCGGGTGTTCTAGTGGTTTTCTCCCATCTTTTCTCTTTCTTCCTATTTTTTCTTCCATCAGAAAGAGAAGCCTTTTATCCTACTTGTTTGTTTTAACAATCCCTGGCATCTAAGTATGGTCTCAGGTATAAAAAAATAACACAGTAGTTTTCCAGCCCTCTCCTTGCTATTCATAGTCAGGTATGAAGATGGGCTGACCTTTACTTGCCTTCAGCATATCTGAGTGCCAGCCTCGAGGGCTTGCTCACACTTGTGTACAAGATCTCACTGTATGTGTATGTGGGTGTTGGTTTATCTCTCTATATTAGAAAATCTCTCAGCTTTGTGTGAGGTGAAGAGACTGAAAACCATGCAATGCCTTGCTGGGGCTTTTTTACATCTGCCAAAGCATTGTAGTTTGTGACACCCAGATGTGACAATGTTCACAGGGGTCTGAGGATGAGGGAAGAGATGAGGATCTGACTCCATGTTTCAGAAGGCTTGATTTATTATTTTACTATATATATTATATTAAAACTATACTAAAAGAATAGAGGATAGGATTTCTATAGAAGGTTAGCTAAGAACAGAAAAAGAAGGAATGAATAACAAAGGCTTATGTCTCAGTCAGAGAATCTGAGCCAGCTGACTGTGATTGGCCATTAATTAGAAACAACCACATGAGACCAATCACAGATCCACTGTTGCATCCCACAGCAGCAGATATTCATTGTTTACATGTTGTTCCTGAGGCCTCTCAGCTTCTCAGGAGGAAAAATCCTAAGGAAAGGATTTTTCAGAAAATATCATGGCTACACCCAGACTCTGATCTGTTTCTAATTGCAGCAGCAGTAAAAAACTCGTCTTAATTTTATACTGCTTACTTTTTAATGCATTTGCAACCTTTGTATTATCTTTACATTTTTAGCAGAGGATTGGATTTTGGAAAATTCTATCTGTATCATAAAAAGAATAGTGCTGATTTTATCATACTTTTTACCTCAAAGGTGCACAAATGTACAAGAATTTGCACAAAGGGATTAAATATACAGCACAGAGGATGATGTGTTATCCATGCTTCTCATATGAGGGAATTTTGTTTCAGTTACACCTCTTGGTGCATCCCCTGTAAAATTATTATAGATGCTACAAGCTGTACAGGAAAAGAGGTTCCACTAATGGGCATGGGTAATTAGTGTTATGTCAGCCTTCATGCTTGTATGGATCCTGCTGCAGGATCAATGTGTGAATCTGGGTGAGCTGGAAGTGACATAGGGTCTAAAACATAATATAATGCATTGTCTTGCAGTTGTTCAGGGCTCTGCAGTAAATTCTGCCACTGGAATACTCATCGCCTGGTTTTGTCTTTCTTCAAAGCCCTGCTGTGCTCTAGAGGAGTGCATTAGGATGGAGAGCTTTGGGTAGTTGAGATTTTAGCCTTCTGCTCTGTTGCATCTTTCCAACATGTGCTGCAAGAGAAAAAGAAAAATAATTGTTAATGAGGGCAATCTTACTTGGAGCTGGGCTCCCTGCAAGGGACACATGAGCCCCATCTCCTTGCAGAAACCAAGCCTGTCATGTCCTCTACCCTAGATTCTCTGAGTACAAGTAGACCAAGCTGCCACAAGCTCTGTATCTACAGTTGTGATCAGCCCCGTTTATTCTTGTACATTCTGTTTTCCCAGGTTTAGGTTCTGAACGGCTGTTGCACTCTGAATCCAAAGCTTCCAGAAAGCCATGAGGTACCTGATGACTTCAGTGGGCTCTAGAGCTGCTCTCAAATCCTAACTTCACTGCTTCTAGATGATTAGATGAATTTATTGGAAATGGATAAATCAGCAAGATCTCCACGCAAGGTACAACACACGAGTCCTTCTGCTTTACGTGTTCTGAGAGTTATTGCCCCCCTCAGATTAAGGGATGCTGTTTTATACCAAAATTAGTCTGTGATGTAATACTGTAATACAATCTTGTACTTCGTATAAATGGATACAGCACACACTCTGTGTAGATATATAATTACAACAAGACCTTGGCTACTACTAGAAGTGAAACAGAGTAGTTTGTTCTGCCATCTCTGGTGTGGTTTCAGATTAGGCCCTTACAAGGGACAAGGGTTCATGGTGTTCTTATAGGCAGGCTCCTTGTGGACCTTCAGGAGACAGGCTCTCTGCATCAACTTTTCTGGGAACACTGCAGCTGGCAGACAGGTAGGTCCCTGCCAGGTTTAACATGCTTAAAGGGGGAAATAGAGTGCAGGTCTGCATGTAGGCTGCCAGAAGACACCAGTGCCTTCAGCTGGCCAGGAGTGTTTTCTAAGACTTGGGGAGCTTTGAAAGGAAGCTGGAATACTGGGAAACTCATGGAGCAGGCACTTTTGCCTGTATCAGTTGAGGTCAGTTCAGGCAGGTGCTGCATTTTGACTTTCAGAAAAATTCACTTCCTCAAGCTCTTGCCAAGTGTGTAGCTCACCTGGGCTCACCATGTTCCTTACAGGTGCTTGCTAGACATGTTTTTAAGGACAGATGACAATATTCAGAGATGTGAATATAGATTTTATTTGAAATTGCTATGAATTTGTAAATTCATGATTATTTGAACTTTATGAAAATAACAAAATCACATTTATTTGACACAACAATAAGGATGCACAGAGAAACCTGTGTGTTGTGCTTATAAAGAGACCAGAAACTAACCAGATTCACTGTAACCATCCCCTTTTCAGAAGAGCTAGAGCATGAGTGTAACTGTACAGCTTTGCCCTTGAAACGGAAAAGATTAGCAAATATTTGGTTTATTCTTTTTCAAAATCTTACCCAGTAGCACAGAATAAACCAGAAGTTTGTTATGGGGAAATGCTGTGCCATTCTCTAGATATAGCAGGGGGATTGTATTATGTATTTATGACAATTGTAGCTGTGGTTTCTTCAGATCCATGCTGAGACCAACTGTATCAAGGCTGTGTGACTAAGGAATTCAGAAACATCTCCTCAACCAGCAGCAAGAGGCATTGAGTTTTGAGCCCAATTCTGTGTTTCTTCCAGTGTTTACTGAAAGTCTGGGCCCTGGATCTTGTCTGATACTCAGATCTCAGTTAGTGAAGACCGTACCCAGGCTCTGCCACCTGCTGAGCCTGCATTGCTCAGTGAGTTAGGGAGAAAGCTGATCTGTGTGGGTGTCTGTGCTGACACCACCAGCCCTGGGCACAGTGCCATGCACCCACCATGCCTGCCACCTGCCTCCAGCGCCTGCCCAACTGCCCAGCTTGGTCCTTCAGCGTGGGGCATCCCTGTGCCAAAGTGCATGTGGCAAATTAATCTCCCGTGGGCTTCTCCACTCTCACAATCCACCGCCCCCATGACTGAGAGGGAGGTGCTTGGGGGAACATCAGCTGCCTGAGGCAGCAAGAGGATGCCACTGTGGACCCCAGACGACTCCAAAGTATGCCTTTGGGAGGTACAACAAACTTCACCTGGCATGCAGTCTCACAGCCACGAGTCTGCTTCATCAGAAGAAACACTCTTCAGGTCTTGTCATTATACCCCAAAGAGGGGCTAGTGGTCTGCAATCACCACAGCCCCCAATCCACAGAGCATCCTGAGGGCTCTTCCAGGACTTCCAGGGGGGGCCATTGCAGGTTTCTGAGAATCATTTGCCCTTCCTCTCCTGCAAAAAAGAATGCCACTTAATGGACTCTGCAAGACATTTTGGCATATTTTAATGCAAAACAGTCTGCAGAAATAGAAGATCAGTTTAGCTAATGCTAAAACTGGGTATTTCAGTTTCACTTTGATGATGCAAAATTGCAGGACTGAAGGTATGACAGAATAAATTTCCAAAATCATCCAGTTCAAAGATCTATTGTATACTGAACAGTTTACATCTTGTGAAATATTTTTTGATTGTGATTGTTTCTGAACTGGTCTCTCCAGGCTGTAGATCTAGTCTCACTTTAAGAGCATAAGGGTAAAGGATTCTTTTCATCTACTCTTGCAGTTTAAAAGAGGATGCTTCACAGTTGCTCTTTGATCTGATTTCAAGGTCTGCCACAATGCAGAATTCTTTTTTTTCCTACCTCTGCTGAGGACTCATGAGAGTTTTTTCAGCTATTGTTGCTTCATTTGAACAAAATAACAACACAACCTTGAGGTCCAGCATTCTTTTCTGGAAACTATTCAAAGTCCATTAAGTTATTAAAAAAATCAGCACCTAGTAACAGATTGCTTAGGATATGTATGGATGCAATCTGATTCAGTAATAAACAACTTGGCAATGTGTATATTGCCAGATATTTTTTCCCGTGCTACAGGACGGCAGGGCCAGCTCAACATCTGAGGCTTTTGATTGTTTGAGTTACAGGTTGGCAGCAATTTCAATTTTCTATAGTTAACAATGTTTCTGCATGATCTGGAAAGAAGAGGAGGATCGTGCTGAATCAAGTTCCTATTGTGTTATAACATTGGCAAGTGATAAGAAGTCATCCTGTTGTGATGTGGCAGTGCCTGTTTAGGTGCTGCTGGTTACCTACCAGCTGGCTTGGAGTGAAGGAGTTGATATGTCTCCTTGTTTACCATTGGCAATCAAGTGTTTAAGATCTTCAGAAGGTAAAGAGCTAGAAAAAGGCAAAAAGGTGTGAAAGATTTGTCCCTTCCCCTCCAGTTTTCCTTTGGCTGAAGAATTTCACTTTGGGCAGCAGCAGTGACCAGTCTGTCTGGGAAGAAGTGATTGCCAGGCTTGGGTCACGACGTGGATCTGGTAGCTGAGAGCACCATGAGCTGAGCTCACGTGTACCCCAACCTATCTCTGTGACCCACAAGGCGCTCATCTGGTTTCACTGTCTCTCTTCCCCCACAGGAGGAGAAATCACAACCATTGTCTTTGGAGGAGGGCTGGGAGGCTGCCCTCATTAGTGTTGGGAAAGACTCATGAAATACAAATCAAAATACCATTTGTTGTCTTTCACATTAGAATAACTCACAGTCAGAATTTCCTTCTAAAGAGGACAGCAGTTTGTTTAAAGATGTGGTTCACAGTGATGTTCTTGCCATGGTTTTAAAAGTACTTGCTTGTTCCTGTTGTGATATTTCTCAGAGTGGTTTGGTGAACAAGAAAGAGGAAGCTCTGAAAGCAGCTGTTTAAAAACTGCCATCAAAGGCACAAAATAATTTGAAAACCAGACAGGCTCTGCTACTCTTTGCTCTTTGTTAGCACCTTGTATAGCAATAAACCTAATTGCTACAACTGTGGCAAATAAAACTGTGATATCTGTGTGCCTCTAACATAATAATTCTTTCCCAAATGGTGTCTGAGAGGAGCTGAAGCATTTTATTTCTCTGTACTATATGACTTAAATAGACCTTTTTTAATAGCAAAGGTGATGGCTTCCATTCATGTATTTATCTGGGGACTGTTTATTTGGTTTGTTATATCAAATGATCTAGAAGTAAGAGCTCAAGCCCCTGAAGATACAGTACAGTATTCAACACAAAAATATGGGAAGAAAATAAAGTATGTATCTTAGCATGGTTTTTATACCAGATGAAATATTATTTCCATTTACAGGCATAAGAACTAGTTTTATGTTTGTGCAACATTATCAGTCCACAACAATGGGCAAATGCAAACATAAGAGTCGGGGAAAGAGAAGGGAAGGGGGATGTTGCAGTGGACTGGCATCCTTCCTCATGACACCAGGAGTGCACATCAGCTCAAGTCATTGCTGAGGGTTGGTACTGCCTCTGATTATCTGCTGCCAGTTTACCTTAGTTTTTGTCCTTCATGGAATAAAACATAAAGTGAAGTTAATCAAATCTTTAGAGATATAAAGTGGACAGAATTTCTTCCAAGAGATAAAGCAGACTTGGTGGCCCTATCACATCCATACGAATGAAACATTGGTCAGATTTTTTGTTCTGAAAATCCAAGCTATAATTGCTTTTCTAGTTACCTTATTTTATTTTAATTAACATTAAAGTTTTAAACAATAATATATGATTTTGTTGAGAAGACTTTGAATTTTTTGTTTTGCTAGGAATACTTGTTTTCACTTTGTAAATTCTCATGGGGGATGGGGGAAAAATATCGATCAATTTTTCACTTACCAAGGCCATCAAGTGCTACAACAGTGATTATTTCTCTTCTTATCTCACCCAAACAGTAAAAGTTGATACAGGAACAAATTTTAGAGAATTTTGTGACAGGTGAAGTCTCTCAGTGTCCTTCAGTATCAGTGGCCAGAGCTGGATGTTTTGAAAATCATGCCTGGGTTTCTGAAGAGCCTTTGCATGACAGCATTAGGTAGAAACCATCTAAGAAAATCAAGATGCACCATGTCCCTGAGATGAGTGTGTCAGCTGCATCACTTCGTTTTCAGCTCTTCACATTGTGTCAGCGGTTTCACTTCCTTGAGGTGAGCACTTTTCAGAAGCTACTGCCTTTGTAATGCAAGTGAATCAATTAAAACTAATTTTAAATGAGCATCCAAAATGATATTTCATCTTCAAAGGTAGAGCTCTGGTCTTCCATCAGTGCTTTAACCACAGGCCTGATGCTTTGGAGCAGCTCCTCCCTTTCCTGCACAAATCAAGGGAATAAGGTTTCCTTTAGAAAAATGTCATACCAAAATGTTCCTGGTTACTGCAGTCTTGTGTTGTTAACCACTGTGTGTACACTGATAGGAGAGTCCATAAATAGCTTTTGTGGTATTGTGTGGCCAAGCATGCTGCAGTGGAAATGCTGTAATAGCAGAGGGGAAGGAAAGAGTGTTGCCTTATCTGGTGTGCAACACATGCAGGCAAGCCCTTAGCTGTTTTTCCCTTGTAATTTACATATCTCCTGAGTGTTGAGAGTCACACAA